CCCCGAAGCATGGAATAAAGGAAAAGCCCGTGGAACTACCAGCAAGCGAGGGCAGAGGCCTAAGGCCTAGGTAGGACAGACATGCGGGACAGTGGAAAGCGGCCTTAAGGAGAAAGGAGACTCTGACATACAAACATTTATTATTATATACAAAAAAGATAGGCAGATTCCGGAATGCGAGTTTAATCAGGATAATTCGAGTTTAGAAGCATTTTCGGTGAACAATGCCAGGGCCAGACTCATCGTACTCTTGCTTCGATATCCACATTTGCTGGAAAGTGGAGAGAGAGGCCAAGATAGAGCCGCCTATCCAGACAGAATATTTGCGCTCGGGGGGAGCGACGATCTTTATTTTCATCGTGCTGGGCGCCAGCGACGAGATCTCCTTTTGCATACGATCCGATATACCTGGATACATGGTTGTTCCACCAGAAAGGACAGTATTGGCGTAGAGATCCTTCCTTATGTCGACATCGCACTTCATGATAGAATTGTAGGTTGTTTCGTGGATGCCCGCAGATTCCATTCCAAGGAAGCTAGGCTGGAAGAGCGATTCAGGGCAACGGAAGCGCTCGTTGCCAATTGTGATCACCTGTCCGTCGGGCAACTCATAGCTCTTCTCGAGAGATGAACTCTGGGCAGCCGTGGCCATTTCCTGTTCGAAATCCAGGGCGACGTAGCATAGCTTCTCCTTGATATCCCTGACAATCTCACGCTCGGCCGTAGTGGTGAAACTGTACCCGCGCTCGGTGAGGATCTTCATCAGGTAGTCAGTTAAGTCACGTCCTGCCAAATCAAGGCGCAAGATTGCGTGTGGCAGCGCGTAGCCTTCGTAAATTGGGACAGTATGTGTCACACCATCTCCGGAGTCGAGCACGATACCAGTTGTGCGGCCAGAAGCGTAGAGAGAAAGCACGGCCTGGATGGCCACGTACATCGCAGGTGCGTTGAAGGTCTCAAACATGATCTGAGTCATCTTTTCGCGGTTGGCCTTAGGATTTAGCGGCGCCTCAGTCAATAGCACAGGGTGCTCCTCGGGTGCAACACGAAGCTCGTTATAGAACGTATGGTGCCAAATTTTCTCCATATCGTCCCAGTTGGTTACTATGCCATGCTCGATAGGGTACTTGAGCGTAAGAATACCGCGCTTTGACTGCGCCTCATCACCAACATAACTGTCCTTCTGCCCCATTCCAACCATAACGCCTTGGTGGCGTGGCCGACCGACGATTGAGGGGAAGACAGCACGAGGAGCATCGTCGCCCGCAAAACCAGCTTTGCACATACCAGAGCCATTGTCAATGACAAGGGCGGCAATTTCTTCTTCGGCCATGACAAAGTACGAGCAGGACTTTGATTAGATGAGCCGTGACCGGGTAAGGTGTAGAAGAGAAAAGCCTGTGACCGAGGAGACGGAGAGTAGATGAGCGAAGTGACGAGGAATGGAGATCATATCTTTTATAGGTTTGACGGCATAGCCATATATGGCCATCAGATCGGAGACTGAGTTTCCTCCAATCACTTTTGGGCTCATTTTCACCAATCAGCATTCAGCTTGAGCAGGGCATGCTCATTTCCATTTATGGTCTCCAGGCTATTTGGCCAGCAGAATTTCTCAATTTTTCTGCTGTCTCTCTGTCTATCTCAGGCCTGTACTTTGGATCTAGCGCCTGTACGTCCATAGGCATAGCGGCATCACCATTTCCCTCTATCATTCGGTTTAGCTTTTGTGCTATTTTCACTGTTATTCAGGTGCCGAGCGGCTAGCCTAAATGCCTATCTCACTGCTCTGCCGTGGGCTGCTGTCTCGTGCATAGTCTGTCCTCCGCCTGCCGCGCCATGTTAGCTGGAGTCACCTAGCTAGCAGGTATGACTCAGTCCAATCACGTGGTGGACAATCTGCTTTGGATGCTTGCCTGCCTAATTTGCTTACTGTCATCTTGACCCTCTGCCCCTTTGCTCCCATCTAGTTGGATCAAGGTTGCCGTTGAAAAATTTGGTTCTCACTTTTTACAATATCTTGTCCTATTTTTCGGTGCGTTAACACAGCTATTGAGTCATGCGGGCCCCTTCACCTCTATTTGAGTAGTACTGCGCACTTTATTTAATGGCGATTTATCTTCCTTGTCATATTCTCGTATCGTCGCAGAATTCTTTCTTATTGCATGCATGAGCCCCACTTTTGCCTCGTCTATTACTAGGTAACGAGATTTCAAATGGGCTACTTAAATTGAAGTTCTTCAAGATGTGTTGTATTTTTGTCTTATGTACTGACAGTAGCTGAGAGCATTGCTCCCGGCTCTAATTTTGTCAAGTTTCGTAGTCAAGACGTGGGCTTCACAACTAATTCAATGTACCAATTTGTCGAAGGTATGAAGACCAAGATGGTGTGGCCTTTTGTGTGGTCGCAGTCTCCTTTCGTTGTATAGAAGTTGTCTGACCTTGTTGTCACAACTCGGTCATATTGGTAGGAAGACTTAGAGCAATGCACCTTGTCCGGAGTCCATTGCATGCATCATCATTTCCAGAGTAGGACCGTGGACGTGGTACATTCCCAGACGTTTCGCCGGTATCGTAGTCGGCATCATCAGTGAGTCTCGCCATTCGTAGTACCATCTTGCAACTAGTCAAAGAGACAAGTGAAGCTCATCCTTTGACCAAACGTGTGCTAAACAGTTTTGGTATCTCCCCTTCTGCCCTGTACCAATTTGTGTTCCCCAAGCAAGTGACAATTTCTTGTCACGCGAACTTCCGTTATTAATGGGCTCGATTTATGGTCACTTGGTACCATCGTGGCTGATGGTTTGCTTGTTCGCTGCGGGTTGGAAAAACCTGAACTTCGCTATAGATTGCATCATTTCTTGTATGGCAAAATGTGCTTTCACCGATGCTACCAAAGACAAGATACGATTATCACGTTATAGAGCCTATGCATAGTCTCAAATATGGCATTTAAGATCGATTGGGTAAAACTCAGTTGTCTATTCTATTTTCGTAAGGAATAAGTGTTTGACTTTATATTAGGCCCACCAAAGTGGCCTTTTGCACTATCTCACATTAACGTAATAACATCCAGGATGGGACGGAGAACTTGTTGCCTGTCCGCTAAAGGTATGTGATAGAGGCTTCTTCTACAATCACATAAAACACACAGTGTAGTTCGAATTCCTTCCTCGTACTTGTGGAATTCGACTCCTTGACGCACAGTTTGTAGTGGCTACACATAGCCTACGACTACTCTATGGCATGAGGTTTATCCCAGTCTCGAATGTTTAATTTTTGAATTACTATGCTATCCGGGTAAACCGAAAGCTGAGGTCCCCACTAAAAGCCCTTAGTTAACTCAAAGTTTAAATACTGAAACCACATTTTTTTATGCCAAGAATTGTGAGGATTGAAGACTCCGTAGGGTATTACTGGACATCGTCCAGAGCCCACATTCTAGACAACATGGAAAGACTCAATTATCAATCGGTTTCATCAAGGACTAGCCAGATTGCCTTTACTTGTTTTAGGTCTTACGTTTATACGAAGAGAAACTGGGTTTCGATGAATTTCCTGAGATAACATTTCGTATGAAAGTCCCCCCATCAAGCTTTCCTTGATAGTCTAGCAACAGACAAAAGGTCTTCCCTATCATGGACGGCATTAATATTCGATCCCTTTCAGTAGCTGATATCTAAGTGCTTTGTATCAAACGACATTCTGATATTGTCGCGTCCAAGTAAAAAGTACATGGTTTTGGCCTCCAAAGCATGTGAGTGCAAACAAGCCTATTTTTCGATCAAGTATTTAAAAAGCTCTACGATTTGTTGGAATAAGATTGAACATAGACATGAAATAAGGCAAGCTTTGGTCGGCATACAATCATATGCTCACATTATTAAGACTTAAGGTTTAGCTGCCTGGAGAGATTCCTAAGTAGGATTCGAGATTAAGGACGGAATATATTTCTCGTCAGTGGGATATTTTGAGTGCTTTTCAAGTCTAGGAAGGATCTCTTTATGATTATGTTGTATCCATGCCTTTTGTTGTGGGAAACTCGTCGAAGAGACGAGTTCGTATCTTGGTGCGGAGAATGGCAAAGCTCACTGATGATGCCGACTACGATGCCGGTGAAAC